TTCTAGTTTAGATAGTGGTTATTGCATCGAGCCATGTCACCGAAAACATGCTTTCACACCACAAGCAAAATCACCAAAAGCCCATTGATTGGTCCATAGATAGACAATAAACTACTGAATGTAGCCTGAAACCTTTGCTAAAGACATTCAAAGCTAGATTTGCAAGCAAATATAATGGGATCCGAGCACCCTGGGGCAACTGATCATAAATTACTGAATGCAGCTTGTAATCTCTGCTAAACACATTCAAAATAAAGTATCTGCTCTTCCTAGCATCGCTGCAAATGATTTTTGTTGCCTGCAAAGTGCAAAAATGGCCCGGCCAATCAAAGCTTTCCAATTCTCTATGATTGATGCTTGAAAGATAATGGGAAGCTTGAAAAGCAGTTGCATCCATCAGCTGGCTTTATGGAGAACTGAGGATTTTAAGAGCTCATGTCGTCGTGATGGATGATTTCTGAATGCAGCATCAGCTGACCAGTTGTTTTATATTTTGGTAAGATGAGAAGAGATATTGCCTAGAATTAAGGGAATAACTTTTTCCGGGTTATATGTCATCTCTTGTTGGTCACAAGGTTTGGATGGAGGCACTGCAATGTAACCACAGTGTAGTTTTGGAGTTCTGATTAAATATTGTAAACACCACCAATGGCAACATCCAAAACATCACCAGGCCATAAATATGTAGTATATGTAAGTATGCCAATGAAGTATGACAACAAACGTTTTGTCTAAACATAATAGAAAAACCCTGTAACGCAGCTGGAGTGTGAACACAGAATTACAAACCCTTTGACAAGGCTGTATGCTCTCGTAACCACCGCAACCATCTCTCACTCTTCACTTGAGGACAAACTACGGTTAAACATGTTTTAAAATAGTAAGTATCAGCAATTCATAAAATATGTAAAATTCCTTTTAAAAAGGTAGATCCTTCCATGTTATCATAGTCACAAAAAAAAGACCTTTTCAAAGTTAACAGGTGATGTGTTCTCATTTTACGAGTAACATCTGAGGACCAGCGTGAACACTATGGATAATTCACATAAACTGTATAAACATTAGAATTACTATATACACACATACTGTACATAAAAACGCACCGACAGGTGAAGCTACCTTTGTGTGTCTCTGACTTTCAAATTAAAAGGAGAGATGTTACCCGTAGTAGTCTTACTGCTTCATAGTTACATGACAACTTGTGCAAAATGACCACAACATACAGAGAATTCCTCCGGTTGTTGCGTTAACAAATGTGTCCTGCAGTATAATTTGTTCTCAGATGCAGAATAATTTAAATGCTGCTGAAGGCTTTTCAAGTACAGCGGTTTCTGATCTGAGCACATAACCACAATACTGTGCAGTTTTGGACTATACCCCAGTACTGTACTTAAGCACAAACTTGAGGTACTTGCACTTTGTCAGCATTTCCATTTTCTGCCATTTTGTATTCTTCTCTACATTTCAGAAAGAAGTACTTTATGTTTTACACTACTTCAGAATGGTTTTGAAAGCAGGACTTTAACTTGAAATCAAGTATTTTTATAGTAGTAATTTTATTTAAGGATTCATGTTGTCTCTTAATTCTAAAATTTTATGTTGGCAAGTAAACAGCTGTATACTCTCATCTTTCATTCCCAGCCTCTGAAGCATGCATAATGTAGGAGAAGTAAAATGTCGCCTATAAGAACAGATTTTTTTTAAATATACTCTATATTCACATTAAGGAAGCAGGAAATCCAAACCCTGGTCAGTACAGAAAGGCAGCTTCAGCCCTCACATAAAAATATTGGTAGAGTTAACTCCACGGAATAGTTAAAAACAATAAATAAGTTAAGAAGTGACTGTTCACTGAGATTTAGCAGAACACTGAGAAGTGTACTCTGACTGCATGTTGGGGTGATTCATTGAGGACCTGATGACAAGAAATATTATTTACATCTCCAGGTTAAAATACAGTTCAAGGTTAGTATGACAGTATACACCACAAAAAGGAATCTCCCTGTGGACTATTTCTATGTCTTATTTGCTTATGAACCACAAAACTTCACAATAAACTCCCAATTTATCCTTTTTGTTCCTATTATTCCAATCTTTATATCACTTTGGGGTCATTTATTTACAGAAAGTAATGGAGGGGGCTTAGCTAGTTCTTTTTATCCTGTTAAATACATATAAGACTTATCTTTTTAAAGATGTGATATTTGACACCAGATAGTGTTATCATCATGGTATAATTGCAATCTTGACCTACAGTGATCAATTTGAGAATGAAATAAATAATAGAAAGTACACTGATCTTCACTGTTTGTTTGTTTTTTACGCTGAATGGGAACAAACCCCTGCAGCCAGTTCAACATCTGGCGGAATGACTGAGACCAGAAGAGAAGAGGCAGCAGATTAATGCCTGTGATTTTGAAGTGAGACATTCAACAATCACATGGGTATAATGTTGGGATGTCTACATACTTTTGGCCAGGTAGTAAATATGACCACAGTGAAAGTACTGGTAATTATCAAATACAGTACCTCATGAAATTAAAGCTTGGCCTGTTTTGCACTGTTAATTCACTAAGCTCCACTAATATGGATGTGAAAATAAATAAAATGCAGCCTCAAAAATTCACTTGGACATTAAATGGGATCACAAAAATACATCAAACAGAATTTGATTCTGTAAAAAATGAAAAATAAATGTCTCTGTCAAAGCAAAACACATTTCAGTAACATACAAATTTTTGGGTGAAGTTAGCTTTCACGGTTCACCACTTAGTTCACTCAGGTGAACATAAGGGTCAAACATACATGAATACTGAAACAGGAAGCCGACCCCAGACCACTAACCCAGACCGCATTAAGCAGCTTTCTGAAATGATACATGCTGTGTAATGTCAGAGGAACTTTGTGAGCCAAAACATCTGTTAGCATAAATACTGGCAAGAAGTCAACTGCTTCAAAAACATCATGATAAAAATGTACTGGGGTTTAACTAACATGAGGGTTGATGGTGATCAAAGTCAGCAATCGTTTGGTTGGTGCTACGTAGCTCTGTATGTAGCCTGTGTTCCCAAGGTACGTTACAGGAGCCTTCCTATGTGAAACTTAAAGTTCCAAGCTAAGCTTTTTGATATGATGAGCAAACCTACTCTTTTTGTCCACAGTGACTGGCTGACACATTGTTTGTGTTGGTGTGTAAACTATTCAGCACTATACAGGAACGGAGGTCGGAAAATAAACTGTAAAGGTTAAAGACCTATCTGCCCCTACAAGGCTTGTAACCTGTAGCAGTTGACTGATTATAAGCAGGTCTGATGGACTTAGGGGTCGTCTGGACTGCCTCTTACTTCTCTGAGCCTTCCAAGCTACTTTTAAAGCTAAAAAAAACCAACACTGAATTACGCTGAGAGCAAAAACTGGAGCCTTAAAGTTAAGACTGATGCCTCATTTTTGCAAGTTACTCCACTTCTAGCTTTAGAGTTTTGGGGTAGCACAGCCCCTGATTCTCACATGTACAAATAAATACTTTGCATATTGTAATATTATTCTCCATCATCTGCATCTTGCAGGTTCCATGGACAGTCTCACGATGGCCTAAATGTTGCTGCACAAGCAAGAAATCTCAATATCTGAACTGCTGAGCATGAAAACGGTCAAAATTTAAGTCTGGTATCAGCAGCCTTAGTGTAGAAGTAGCCATATAAGCCTTTTTAAATCCAGTCAAAGCCACTGTGTCCACACAAGGCTAAAATCGCCACATGTCAAAACAGTCGGACGCTGACAGTAAACTACAGACTGGAACAAAATGGAGAGTGTCAGTGCTTTTTCCTCATGACAAGAAACATATTTTCATGAGTCTGGGGTCTGAGTTTCCTCTGTAAGTCCTGGGGGATAATGTCACACACACTCAGTGGATGATTCAGTCATTCATCTATTTCACACACACACACACACACACACACACAGTCTTCTTTAATCCCCAGTCTCAGACTTTGTCCTCCTTCCCTCTTCACCAATTCAGTGCAAAGATAAGACATCATAGTTAGGCAGAAAACTCATTCTCACACGCAAACACACAGATAAAACCTTGCTTGCCATCCTTTCCTCATTCCCTCTCACTCTTACAGGCCAAAGGTCAGACGTCGTAGTCAGGCAGGGCGGAGTAGGTGATGCCGCTGACAGATGGAGGGCTTGAGTGAAGAGGAAGAAGCCAGCAAAAGATCGAACCTGAATAAAATAAAACAATGATTAAAACAGATGAGGCATGTGACTGTTTTAGTAACAATCCGATGACGAACACAGACCCACCTCTCCCAAAGACCTCCCGCAGCAGAGCGAGCTTTGGCTTGCGGGTATGTGAGAGCTGGTGAGGGAGTCGCAAGGACAAGGAAGCTGAAGAGGATGAAGATGAAGAGCCTCTGTCTTTGATCACTGTCAACCTGTTCCTCATCTGCTCTATCGGAGTCTCATCTGTGATTATGGAGACCAGCTGGGACAGAGACACAATGAGATTTCTGATAAAGTATATTCAGAAAAGCTGCACTTGCTGTATTATGTCATCAGTATATAGTTTGTGCAGATTTTCATAAGTCTCAGATTTGAGGCTGATTTGTTTCTAAAGGCACACACACTTGGTTCATTATACATTAACATGTAAAATATGAGTGTTTACATATCAGAGAGCAGTGGGAACCACTATGAATTTTCCATTGTGTACATTTCTTTCCATAGTTGTGTGGACAAATGTTACATTAATTCCATAGTTGAGTTATGAGAACGTTTTGACTGGTCCTCACAAGTTCAAAAGGCTGTTTGAGGGTTAATGCTCAGTTTTAGGTTTCAGGTTAGAATTAGGTTTAGTATTAGTGTGATGGTTACTGTTAGGGCAAGAGGTAGAGCGTGGATTGGGCTACATATTTCTGTCCAAACCCAACCTGTGCCCGAGAGTGTGGTGTCTGAACCTGACCTGGACCTGACAAGCTTATAGTATATAATGTCCAAACCCAACCTGAGCTCGACACAGTTGAGATTGTATGGTGTTTTTCTCCTTATCAATAAATGAAGCTGACATTTGAGTGCTCCAGCCGTCTAGCCTAAAGTTTGACCTACGTGTCTGGACCTGGCCCGAACCTTCAGGTACTAAGGGGTCCCACTGTGCTCGGTTCAGGTTTCCACACTCTAGTAAGATGCTGGCTGTATATGTGTGTATATACCTGATCATAGAAGATGACCATGACAAACACACCAAACAATACTGACTCCACCAGGAGGATGATGTAGTGAGCACTGTGAAAGAGAAAAAAATAAGTAAAAGTAGAAATAATAGAAACAGAAGATGAATTACTAGCTATCAAAGATAACACTAAACATCATGATAAAAGCTGTTGATACAAAAATACCTCTGTACTATAGATTTTAAACAAGACTGATAAACTAAAACCTCAGCTTCTAAATCTCACTAGCCAAAGTGTAAAAACACTCTTAAGGCTAAAGTGTAATTGCTTGTGAGTGATGAAATGAAACCCTGATCTCCACCCTTCCTCATTGTAGCACACTCACACTATCAGGTGTTTACTGGGCACCTCCTCTCCTTCTTTATCTGCATCACCTTCTCTCTCATTCCTTATCCGCCAAACCCAGGCCGTCACCACCAACACCATGGAGTAGAGGCTGGCCATGCCTGCACACATACATAGAATCACAATAACAATATCAATAGCATTACCTTGAGCTGCAGTTGTGGTAGGAGTAGTAGTGCTGCTTTCATACTGTCCATACAAGACTTTCAAGGAACGTCTACACTAAGGGCTTTTAAAGGCATTACCAACGTAAACATGATGTAGCACTCTGTATCTACTCACCAGTGTAGAAGAGAAACTGGATGAAATACTTCTGGTTTAGCTCCCCAACGCAGTTGTTAATCCTAAAACACACATTAGAAAGTGGATGAGACGACACTGGGGGGAAGAGAGGGTGATGCACTGGAGGTCAAGAAAGAAGAAGGGACAAATGTGAGATGACAAGAACACAAGCGGGGGAAAGAAGAGGGAAAGATTAAAGATAGAAGCTGGTTCAGTGGATGGTTGGCATTTTCTCACCAGGGACAATGATGGTCCATGCGGCGGATGCACCTCTGGCAGACGCGGCAGTGATGCGCTCTGGGTGGTCTGTAGGTTTCACAGCGACTACACACCGTCCAACCCTCACAGCCCTGAAAAGGACAACAGCTCAAAACTAGTCACAATCTGATGGCTATTCAACCACAAATATATAAACATCCAATCTAATCTGTTTTTAAAGGAACATATTTATGTATATTACACAGCATGTCAGAGTTCATCTCGGCTCAAAACGGCTTCAATTGTACATTTACCGCTCAGTGAACAAATTCCATCTTCTGTGCTGGATTATTTAACAAGAGAATATTTGGCAGTTTTGCTTTATAAATGACTAAATCAATTATTAGAATGGTTGAATTCAGAATTTTCTACTGATACACTACACTGCCAAAAAACTACCTATGCATAAATCTTAAAGCTTGAAGAAAAAAAAAAAGGCAACTGCATTTTTACAGTAGCAGTCCAGCTATATTAGCAGCCTTGACAACAGAAGATGTTTTAGTCCCAGTTTGTACAATCAGAGAACTTCCAGTATTTTTTAAACCCATTTGAGTGTAAGAAAAGAGGATGATGATATATATTCATAAACATTCAGAACCACTGAGCCAACACAGACATCTGCCATTTAGCTCACAGGTACATAATAACAAGGGCCAAAATGGTCATAAGTACAGCTGCAAAGGTTTAAATACAGAGTAACCCTTAGATAAACAGTAATAATCAGAGCGATGACACAACCTCCCTCATACTCTTTCTCTATTATTAGATAGAAACTCCAAACGTTTCAAAGTGGAAAAAGTCTATCTGAACCACATCTCACTGTTTGTCTGAAGACAGATTTTTGAACAACTTAAACATTTTTAATGCATCTGGTCAATTAATAACAATAACACTTTGTGGGTTACACTTTTTGAGAAGAGCAACAGAAAACGGTTACTGTTCACTTTGTGACTCACACGCTCACTCATCCGAGACGACTGTGAACGAAGGTCTGAGAAGTCTATGGCTGTGTCAGGAAGAGGCACCATGCCTAGACAAGATCACAAACAAGCACATTAAATGGCAAACACCCCCCCACCTGCCCCTGCCGTTGCCCCACTAATGATTCCCCCCGTCCAGTTTCTTTCTTAACTTATTAACCTGAATAGTAAACACAGAGTTGAACAGTTTACTGACCAGGATCTGAAAAAACAGCTTTGGAGTGGCAGGCCAGCAGCAGCAGCAAAATCAGGTTGAACACTGAGCCATGCAGAGTGCACCACACACTGTCAGAGAGTTAGAAAGGGAGATTTAATACGCAAAACAGCATGTTTATTAATCCACAAAACAAAACTTTTAACCTCCTGACGTGCTTTAATTAGTCTTCTATGATATGTAGGGGTACAACAGATATTTATTATTATTTATTAATCTTTGTATTATTTTCTTAACGAACTTTTAATCTATAAAATGCCAAAGAATAGCGAAACATACCTACTTAACATTAAAAAGTGCAATAGATATTTGAAGGTTAATAAATAGCTTTGAGTCACATAAATGCAAATACCACAGTGTAAAGTGTCAACCTTGGGTTCATGAACTAGTATTGTAGCTATGAAAAGTATCATTCATAAAAATACTAGCAGTAAAATATAAATAAGTATGAAATACGCACATGTCCTGATCAATCTTTGGTGTCAACTTTGCATAATTTGAACATGTATCAGTGATAACTGATACATCAGTGTTTTGGATATACGCCGAATTAAAGGGCGGTAGTCGTTGATTTAGAAAACGTTGTGATCCGTCGTTTAGAAGATGTGATCTTTAGCCGATACTCAAGGCAATATTAAAGAGCAAGATTTCTGAATGAGATCTCAGGCCAATAGAAAATTACTAGGAAACCTGACCACAACGAAACCGAGAGCTGTTTGGTTTGGCGTGTATCAAACACCTCAGCTGGTAAACGAACTAAACATCACGTTCTTTAGTGTCACCTCATTACAAACACTCCCCTAAAATATTTCAATACAAGTTTATCTAAGATAAACATGATTTGTATCGGTTCGGCAAAAACAAACAAACAATAAAACCAAAAGAAAACGTGGGGATGCTGTGAGACCTGTCTACTGTCAAATGAATGAAGACAACGCAAAGATACAGGCGCCATATCGTTTCGTTTTAGCGGTTGAAACAACAAAGGAATACAAAGTACCGACCTGCCCGAGTATGCAGGAATGAGGACATACTGTATGACCACGTAGTCAGCATAAAACACGCTGAAATAAGTTAAAATCAGACAGATAACGCCGCAGGGGTCTCGCCTACAGCGTACAGACGCCATCTTCTACCAGGCTCCTCCCCCTTTCCCTCACTTCCGTGTGACATCACATCGAAACCTGATGCTGCCTTCTATGACCCTTGGAAATAATGTACTGCTAAATCCGCTTGTAGAATTCAGGTATCGTTAAATTATATCTTAAAATTTCCACATCAACGACAGTTACCAGAATAAGTTATATTCAGTTTGTCTTTGTTATTAAATGTTCTATCTGTTGTACAGCAAAAACTGCAGACAGACAGTTTATCATCGGAACTTTACAAGTTGTACCCATTTGTACCTGAAGGCGACGTGATCCTCGAATCGATTGTGTTCATTGATTTCCAAAACACTAGGAGGCAGTAGACGTCTTCATGTGTGACACTGATACTCTGTCGCTCCTCCCTTGAAGTGGGCTGTAACCAGCTCGTCGTCCTCCTCGTTTGCTCAATTTTTTTTTTTTTTTTTGGTTGCTGGAGTCTCTCTCACGACCCGTGCGTCTGTGTGTGAGTGTGTATGTGTGTTTGTAGTTTGACTTCTTTTCTACTGCTGTTCTTCTTTACAAACCGACCGCGGTTTCTCTCGGATATATTATACGTCGAAGCTGTTTCTTACTTTGTTACTTTGTGCGTGAAACTCGAAGTGAGAGCGAAAGAAAACAAGAGCTAAAAAGAAGAAGAAGAAGAAGAAGAAGAAGAAGAAGAAACAAACCTGGAGGAGGAAAAGGGCGTTCATACTTCGAAGTAACCATGGAAGTTCCTGGTATGCAGGTAATTGGAAAGGTGGATGCAATGTGACTTTGAATGGGTTTTGTTGTTTGTTTGTTTTTTGTTAGTCACCGATATAAGCACGCAAGCCACGGTATCAACAGTTGAGTGCAACTACAAGTCGTTTCCTTTACATTTTAAAGTTCTTACCTGGGCTTTATGACACGTACCTGCAGGGCTCCTAGTTCAAAGAGCTGTAATCAGAATGGAGTCTCTGTAATGTTAATTTCGTAGCTCGTTATGTTACTATAAAGTGGTTTTAAAAGGCCCTGTGCTACTTTGTATAGAATTTATAGTGACTTTGCCACAAATTGGGTTTGTAGCTGTCTCATGATGTTTAGGTGTTCCTATATTATTCCTGTAGTGCCTTCTAATGTGACATTGACACTACATACTCACTGTATAGTGACTTTATTGAGTTTGTGTCTCTTAGGATGTCCCTGAATGTTGATATAGTGAGTTATATTGTGTTGTCGGTCATCCAAATTAAATTTACAGTAGCTTTATGCTCTTCATATCACTTTTAAGATCTTTTTAATATTAATTTCCTGGCACAAAATATGTCTTTTATACACCATAGAGAGGGTGTGGAGACTTGTTTATTTCTCTTAGGCTGTTCATGTGATGTTCCTGTATTGACTGGTCCCCTTATATATGTGCTATTTGAATAAACCTGCCTCACCTTAATATTATTATAGTGACTTGACATTAGTTCTATAAATCAAGTTTATAGAGATCTTACGTTGTTTATATTGACCAAGATGCTCTGATAATATTCCAGTAGTGACTTATAATGTGACTGTGATTGTCTAACTTGAATAGCCTATTATTGATCCCATTACCTTCGCCTAACTAACCATGTTTGATTATGCTTGGTTTGTTCACAGCATAACTCAAAAAGTAATGAAAGGATTTAGATGACATTAGATTTTGGTGCTGATCCAGGTCATCACCATTAAGAGAGAGGGCCAATTTCAGTGATTTTGCTTCTAATTCCATACATGATGTCTAGATTGTTTGGACAAAAATTGTGTAACAACATCCACATAAGCTCTACCATACAAAGCATAACTCAAAAAGTAATGAAAGGATTTAGATGACATTAGATTTTGGTGCTGATCCAGGTCATCACCATTAAGAGAGAGGGCCAATTTCAGTGATTTTGCTTCTAATTCCATACATGATGTCTAGATTGTTTGGACAAAAATTGTGTAACAACATCCACATAAGCTCTACCATACAAAACGTAGCTATCACCTGGATTCAAGCAATATTCTGGATATGCTGATCCAGAATGTTCAAATGTATATGGGTCACAGAAAACATACTAATGTGAGACAACAAATAATGTTACATACTTGCAAGAAGACCAAACTGTAGCAGTGTGTCAACACATTTAACATACCTTCAAAAGTCACTGACCTAGATCCTGAAGAAACCCACCATTACCAAAATAGTGTTTCTTGAATAACTTTCAAACTATAATGATATCAGTTTGATTCCAGATTCTAGGGGTAGTATTTCAGGGTCAAGGAACCATATTATAAGGGTCAAACTATCATGGTCATATTGCTTTTAGGTGGAATTGCATTCATGGGAACAGTGTGACAGTGACTGCCTTGGCAGAGGTTTGTGATCTCTGAGTGCTGTCTAGTTATATTTACACTGCTCTACATGTCAGTATAATATTCATGCAGTGACTTTACTACACTGTATTGAATTAACAATGACATTAGGGCACTTAAGCCTAAATAACTCTGCAGTATATGTATAATGACTTTAGTTGTGATGTTGGTACTCCATACTGAGTTTGTAGTGACGATTGCAGTGTATAACAACACTGAGAGCATCTCTGTGCAGTATCACTAAGATCCTAAATTATTAAGAATTGTGACATACTTACAACCATTATATTATTTTTAAAGCAAGTGAAGATGCCTAGTACTCACTGTGTCACACTTATGATAAATCCAGAAAGTCTCTAGGTGTTATTGAAGATTTAAAAATAACTGATCACAGTAAAGACAAGAAAATGCTCTTCAGGGTCTCTCAGGCAGAGCAAGGTAGGACGCTTTATAATGTTTTCACTAAGTTGGGCATACCAGTTAAAGATAAGACAAGTGTTTTGTGTATTCCTCCCACAGGGTGTTTGATCATATATATTATCTAATGCTCCACCTGTTAAGGAGTTCTCTGAACATGTAAGAAACCAGGTTATGAGATTTCATAAAGATGGGACAAGACAACAGAGCATCAGTAGTCCTTTGAACATAAGCTGATATAGTTACGCAGTGATTAGGAGGTGCAGGAACTGACACAGGCCTAGTTCCAGTAACAAAAGGTGCAGTGCATGATGTCCCCGTGGATCCTTGCACTGAAAACAGATACTAAGTGTCTCTGATTTATCGAGGATTTTTTGTGGAAAACCGGTGACTGATCAGGCAGTGTGAAGGACGTGATATGAAGTCAGCCTCGACAGACGGTGTCTAAGAACTGCAAGATTATATTTTGTCAAAGAGCAATAAAAATAATAATAATGATAATAAATGTGTTTGGGTCAGCATGTTTGGTATGGACCTGGTCAGGACTACCTCAGTGACTATAGTGACACATGGAGAAGGGAGTGTGCTGATATGGAGCACCATGAGTACAAAAAGTTAAAGCAAGAGTACATTTATAGATGGTACTAAGAATACAAGGCTGTATACCTGCGTAGTGGGTGAAAAGATGACTCCCAGTCTCAGGAGTTTTCTCAACATGACAGTGATCCCAAACACACTGCAAAAAAATCACAAAAGAGCTTTTAAAGCATGAAAACAGAGGAAACTATACCCTGGCCAAGTCTTTTATAAAGAAATAAAAGAACTGAATCTCATGAATGAAGGGTGAACTGACTTTTGTTGTGGTTGGTTCTTAAATATGGGCCTTTTATTAAAGTTTAATTGGTAAAACAGTTCTGCTTTTCAGATGAATTGATTTCATTCTTCTTGGGTTTTAGATGACTACAAATAAGAGTTTTAAATGGACAGGATTTGATAGTACTTAACATTTTAGTGATCGTAACCAGGGGTGTACTTTGGTTGTATACTTTCACTTATACTGCCACTTTAATCTGACTTTGATACTCTATGCCAAGTGATTTTATACTGTTTGTATGTCTCAAGAAGTCCTTAAAATATCATTTATTATGACCTGTTTGCTATCAAATTTGTACCTGTCAATAAGCCCAAGAACACATTACAAAATAACAAAGAATCAAAGACAGCAAATACAAAATAGCCAAAAATAGAATGATATAATTACAATTAAATTATGATGACTATGCTAATTTAAACATGTAATATAAGCTGTGATTTGAACTGTACAATAAATTCCAGCTGACAGATGCTGAGATGATACTGAAGAACTTGAGTGATGAGAGAGAGAGGATAGGACGATTAGGAGGAGTCTGGAAACACTGTGTAAATGAAAATGGGGCATATTTTTGACTTTTCATTTGGGAGGAGACATGAACAATCTGCTTTTAGGCAGATTGGTGGCGTTGAAGCAGAAGTTCCAATGGGACCCATGGTGAATGTATTTTTTTTTTTTTAAACTGGAGAAGGTCCCCATGACTGAATAGACTAGCAGGGGGCTGGTAGCGGGTTGCAGACCAGTAGATTTCCACTGCTGAGTTTGACAGTCGTGGGATAGCAGTGGTGGAAATGAGGATTGTCCATAACTGTGGCTTGAGAATCCCCATGATGAAACTTCAGATGCCTTACAGTGACAAACAAGACAGCCATCGATGGCGAGGGTGGAGAAGCAAAAAAGGAGCTTGGGTGACCAGGCAGTAGATCAAGGCCGAGGCCAAGTCGAGCTAGCAGCCTGATATTTAATCATATGTGCTGTAATAGGCCTGTACTTACACCGTACTTGGTCCCTCTGTGCCTCTATTATATCCCTATAGTTCTGCTTCTGTGGCCTATTTTGTGTATTTCTTGCTCAACAGTGACTTTTCGTAATATGTTTTACTGGACTTCTCATATTCAGCACCACAAACCTAGTGTAGCATCTCATTTATGTGGTATCTGATAAAATGCATTCTAGGATTAAACTTGTTGTGGTTTAGTGAAGGTAAATCAGTAGATACACTGTGTTTCTGGCGCTTAACAAGGTGTGTAAGATGACTTGTGAGCTGTGCTCCTGTTCGGCCAGCTCTCAGGTGTGTCTACCTGTGGGACTGGCTGCCTAGCTCTGTTCATCCCAGGTGGGCGGGGCAGAAGTAGTGTCACAGGCTGGTTATAATAACACACACCTGACACCCGGCAGGAGCTGCCGCGCACCGAGGCTGACACAAGTATCTGTTGTACATGCCAAGAATCATAGTGACAGGGTGATGATGTGTTGTGTAATGCTGAAACAACTTGATCGCTGACTGACAGAAATATATTGCAGTTTTGTCCAGGGCTACTGATTATCATTTTTATTAGTCATCAGATTAATTTTTCAGATATAATCTTATTTATTTTGAGTTAATTATAAATTTTTTATCATAACTGTTGCTGATTAATGTTCTGTTAAGCAATTCATTGACATTCTAATCACTGACCTTCAGAGAAAAACAAGTCAGGTTGCAACTAAACACAGTGGAAGCCAAATATTTTTAATGATCGTTCCAATTGTTTAGACTGTTTTCTAGCAGCTCCATTAATTTCACATATCAAGATTGATCAAGTCCTATCTGATTCATATCGAGATATGATATGATACATCAGTGTATCACCCCCCCCCCCACAACCTTTACATGTTGTCTATTGATAACACGGTGATTCAGAGCAGCCTACAGCTGATATGACAGAGTTTGATTAGACTTCTGTTTAACTGACTGGCAATGTTTTGGCCGTTTATGGGAAACTATTAAAATGATTCAACCTGGTCAGGTATGTGGCAACACATTTTATTGATGCTCGTCAAATGACTGAAAGATGATTAAGCAAAGCCTTGTGGAGGCTTGTCATTAT